TGCCATAGCTGTAATTAGCAGTGAGTGGGTGTGTAAGTGTTGGAGTGTTAGAGGGATGCGTGTGGGATATCCAGGGTGATCCAGTGTATGTGAACAGTGAGTTGTTTGGGCGCTGAAGTCGCCATAACTGATTGAGAGTGAACTCATATCTGAAGCCATATCTCTGAGTCTTGTGTGGGCGCATGTCGCCAGTATGCTGCGTTGCTGTTTACATGCATGAAAAGTGTGTTTGAAAACGAGTATGATTGCATGTGAATCTGATCCTAGTTAAGTCCCTCAAACGGTCTACGCGGTCTAAAGGACTTGTGCAGCTCATTGGGAGTGCGACAGGTGGACAGGCGCACGCTGTTATTGTACGCACTGGCTACCTTGGGTAACATCTCGTCCCAATTAACCTGATCCGGTCTAATATACATGCGCAGAACTTGCTGCAGGATCTTGTTCATCCGCTCAGTCTGACCATTTGTCTCTGGATGGCGGCCAGACGACATCAACAACTTGGACCCATAGACTTCCATCAGTTCCTGCCAGTTCTGGCTAGTGAAGCGGGTGTCTCTATCACTAACAATAGACAATGGGACGCCATGCTCGCTAACCCAAAAATCGAAAAACTTCTGAATGACTAACTTTGTACGTGCCTTTGCAGGCAAAGGAACAAAAACAACATATTTGCTAAATCTATCAACTACAACCATGACTTGGCTCTTGTCGTGCCTACTCTTGACGCCGGCGTCCATAAAGTCGATGGACACTGAGTCTCCTGGCTGATCAGGAATAGGCAAGGATCTAAGAAGACCTAGAGGAGCATGCGTAGTAGTCTTGTTTCTTTGACAGACCTTACAACTGCGGACATACTCCATGCAGTCGTTCTTCATTCCTGGCCACGTATACACGTGCATTAGGTTGGCTAAAGTCTTCTGCCAACCGAAATGTCCCTCTGTGTCGTGGCATTCCCCTAAGATCAAACTATGGATCTCCTCATTGTTGGGGACAGACGGTCTACTACATTAGTCTTCTCAAATAACAGACCCTCTGTAGTGCGGTAGTCTAGTTCAGACTCTGGGGCCTCCTCAACTCTCTTGAGGAGGTCAGATACGGTCTTGCGCATACGCCTGTCTCACTTTCTCTTGCAGGTCACTCCCTATGTCCAGATAGTGAACTATAGCTCCAAAGTAGGCTGATCTCCTACTCAGAGCATCCGCAATTACATTGTACTTTCCCTTAACAGGTTTGAGCTCGAAGTCATACTGGTCTATCTCAGCGGCCCACCTAGTCAACTTAGGTGTCATCTTGGCCTGTGTCTTCAGCCATCTAAGCGTCTCATGGTTTGAATACACCTTGAAGTGCCTCCCAAGCAGGTAATGCTTCCATTGTTCTAAGGCCTGCCAAAGAGCGTAGAGTTCTTTCTTGTACGTCGAGGCAACAACCTTCTCTGAGGGCATCCTCGCGGACATGAACTCTACGGGTCTATAGCCATTGTCGTCGTCCTGCTGTAACACGGCACCTATTCCATACTGACTCGCATTCATGGTGACGACAAATGGCAAAGACAGATCTTCTACCTTGAGGACAGGGTACTCTATCGATGCACGCTTTAACTTCTTTAGCGCAAACGTATAGTCCTTATCCCACTGCCAGATTGCCTCTTTCTTAAGCAACCTGCGAAGGGGAGCGGCGATAGTGGAGGAGTTCCTCACGAACTTCCTATAGTAGTTGGCTAGGCCTAGGAACGACCACAACTCTGTCAACGTGCGGGGCGTCGGCCAATCTCTAATTGCCGCTATCTTGTTGTCCTCAGGCTTAATGCCATCTCTGTCTAACACGTGGCCCAAGTACAGGACTTGTGTCTTGGCCCACTCGCACTTCTTCGCATTGATCTTGAAGTTAGCCTCCCTCAGTTTCTCTAAGACCTGCCTCAAATGACCCTGGTGCTCTTGGAGGGTCCTACTGAATACTAAGATATCGTCTAAATAAACTACGACGAATCTATCTAACCAAGGCCTAAACAAATCATTCATACATCGCTGAAATGTAGCTGGCGCATTGGTCAGTCCAAAGGGCATCACTATGAACTCATAATGCCCGTATCTAGTCCGGAATGCAGTCTTGTACTGGTCATCAGGATGGACCTCTATCTGATGATACCCGGATTTCAAATCTATCTTTGAGAAATACTTACAACCCTGCACCCGATCTAAGAGATCGTCTATCCTGGGTAGTAGTTCAACATTCTTAATGGTAATCGCATTCAGACCCCTATAGTCAATACACATGCGCAACTCTCCTTCCTTCTTGGGGACAAACAAAACTGGTGCTCCAAAAGGAGACGAACTAAGCCTAATCCAACCCTTCTCGAGGAGTTCGTCAAATTGCTTGCGCAGCTCCTCTAACTCTCTAGGGGACATCCTGTAGACTGCTCCCTTAGGAGTTTTACTGTCGGGCTCTATCTCTATTCTTTGCTGGATCGGTCGCGGCACTACTCCTGTCGGCGGCTCTGTCAGATCTTTAAACTCCTCCAGCAGCTTGGCAATGGCTGGATCTGTGGAACTATCCCCTTCCTTAGGCTCAGTGACAGGTCTAACATACACTACAAAGACCCGATCCTCTAATTGCTCCTTTCTCACTAGTCGCGCGAACGCGGGAGCACTGAGGCAGCAATGTGCCAGTGAGTTGTCCACTCCTGACACATGAAACAAGTGGGTAGTCTTAACCTCGCCTGGCGGACTAGGGAGCCTACACTCATGCTCTCTCAGATGGAGTGTGGCCCCTGCTGCCTCTCCCCCGTCCATGCCTAGGACTATGTCAAACGGAAGGTCATCATGTACGAGGAGAGTCAGGGAATGGAGAACTTTCTCCACCTTCCCATCTTTCTCTAGGCGGAAGTACGCCTGGACTCCCTCTAAGTAGTCCTCAACACGCATAATGTGGTTGTCTGCGAGGACACTAACTATGGGGTCTGCTAGCTTTTGGACTTCCAATCCTAGCCTCAGTTTTTTCAATGCTCTACGGCTAATGTAACTGCGGGTGGCCCCTGAATCTATAAGGGCCCCTACGCTACTTCTCAAAACTTCTACGTCTACTAACACTAGCTGCCCTTTACTATCTTTCTTCATCTTGGCCCAGGCAGGCATCCTCTCCTTTAATTCCTCTGCCACGCATGTGAGGGATGTGCCTAGAGAGACGCTGACACAAGCAGTCTCTGGACAGCTAACTAGGCACGGGCCTGCAACCTCAGTCGAAGGTTCATGTGGTGTGGGAGTTTCCTGTACGCGTGCGCTCGTTTCCCCACATGGCCTAATCGTAGGGGCAGTTGCAACCCCTACCGGCGGCTGCCTTTTGACTCTTGGGCAGCACATTGGGCCTGTCTATACTTAGGACAATATTTTATGATATGGGCAGGGTCACCACAGTAAATGCACTGCCCCTGCTCCATTCGTTGTTGCCACACTTTCTGGTCCATGCCCAGATCTTCCCAAGGCCGGCCTTGTGGCCAACCCGGGTGCCAACCTCCTAACCTTTGAGGTGACCTTCCACCTCGTCGTTGTGGGGACCGACTGGGACCTTGGCGATTTGGCGAGGGACCTTGACCCCTACCTCCCACTTGACGGTTCCCTTGACCGCCAACCCCCTGTGCACCCGATCCTCGGCCTCCCATGGCCTGGCCCCTTTGGCCCTGGCCTCCTCCTCTACCTTGCGGCCTCCCTCCGGCCGCGATAGCCGCATAGGACCTCCCCTGACCTACGCTGCTGTCCTCCTCCTCAAGTCCCCACTCAATCTGACTATAGGGGACCTCGACAGTAGCACCCTCGTCTAAAGTAAGGATCAGATGATCCTTGGCCCTGACCTGGCCAGAGATGGTACGACCTTTCCACTTTTTACCCTTATCTAAGTCCCTATGCCAGAAAGTGGAAACTGGCATGGACCTGGCCTCAAACAAGACCACTTCCCTACTCAACTCGTTATACGTGATGTTGGGCTGCTGGGTCTTGTCAAAGAATTGCCCTCGTAAGGGCTCTGGCATGGCACGATAAAACAATTGGACCAGCTGGGTCTTAGTGACTCTGTGGTCCGGGACGGCTACCAAGTCGTCCATGACAGCTTTGAGTGCTCTCGCGCTCCTCCACTGTCGCGAATGTATGGTTTGTAACTTATCAGAGCCCCTGACACCTCTAGTGACGTCAGCAAACCTCTCGCGCAAAAGTTTGAGGAAAGTGGCGAGGGGGTTAAGCCTAGAACATGCGATCATATTGTGCTCGCAATCTGCGGCACGTGCGAGGGACCTGGCGAAGCTGGCTGCTTCGTCTTTCAAGGCATGGAAGGCGACAAGGACTTGCTCCTCGGGGGCAATATGTTGTAAATACACATAAGTGTTGACGGTGGTCTCCCAGTTGTCAAAACTATCATCCTTCTTCCCACTATAGGCATCAGGGAACGTTTACGGGCTCTTTGCGTTGACGCACTGTGGCCTTTGTTGTGGCCACCACTTTGGCGCTTTCAATGGTGCCTGCGCAAAACTTATCTACGCCATCCCTCAATCTTCTAATTTCGGTCCCGACGTGGGTCACCACGTCGCTCGCAAACTCTCTGAACACGGATGGCATTGCCTGCAGAGTCACCTCTTGACCCTTACGGGCCTGGTGCTCCTCCAGCGAGGCCTCACTTAAAACTTCCAAGAAGCCCATCATCTTATCTAGCTTGGCAGGGATCTCTGTTTGGGCCTGCAGCTCCTGCCTGCCGGTTCGCACTCGCTCAACCTCCCCGGCTATTGGCTTCCTCCCTCCTTCTCTTCTTTTCTCTCATCATCTTCAACTTTTACTCCAACTTCTTCCATCCTCTGTCGCCTGGCGTTCCAAGGAATCCTCTATCAGCTCTAGGGCCCTGGCAAACGCCTCCCTCTCCTCATGTGGCACATATAGTTGTGCCTCTTCATCTTCTCCCCATGATAAGTTAGCCACCCATTCACTAATCTTATTTTCCCTCCATTAGTCCTCCTCCTTCGTGCCACTTGTTTCTCCTTGTTGTTCCCTGCGTCTTCTCTCAAGGGGTTCTTCTTCTTCTTCTTCCTCCTCCTCTGCTGCTGCTTCTTCTTCTACAGCCCTCCTCCTCTCTTCCTCCTCTTGCTGCAACATCATCATCATCTCCTCCTGAAATCTTAATATCTCTTCTTCTAACTTCTTCTTCTTCATCGCCTGCTCCTCCACAATTGCTTTCAATTTCGCCTGTTTAAGGAGTTCTTTCTTCTCTTTCTTCTCTCTCAAAAGTGCGGCGATCCGGGCCTGCTCGGCCTCGGAGGGGGCAGTACTCTTCCCACTACGGGTGTCAACCATGGTGATCGGTGCACAACCAACCAGCGGTTCCACTCCTCACCACTTAGACTCTACTCCCCCTGACTGACAAACCTACTGACTCAATCTAAGGACTTACAGAATCCGGGCAGGATCCTGTCAACTAGGGTCTCTAGCCTAGACCTACTCTAAGGCTGTCACTACAAGACCTGTTGATGATCAGGAGGCATTTAAGGAGATCCCCCGTAACTCCTCAGGAATTATTTAATGTCGCAGACAGGACGACGCGATCAGCAGGTCTTCTCAAGACGTAGACGGCCTGTTGTGCAGCCCACAACTCGGATTTTGGGCCTACCGTGCCACACCGAGCAGCCCGCCGGTCATTACCAGTCCTTGGGAGGGTTCGTGTCCTCCGGGACAGTCGAGTCGTCAGACACAGTCTTTAGCCCTACTCAGCCCGTGTGGGTCTGGTCAACAAGGCCCTATCCTTCATCCACAGAGTTCCTAACACTTGGACAGAAGAGACTTAATGCAGAAAGAAGAGACAAACAGACTTGACTCAGCAAGTACCACAGGGTGTGTGCACATCCATAGGGCGAGGGGATAAAGGCTTGGCGAGATTATACCGGCTCCAGCTTGGTCAAATTCATGGTCAACACCTTGGTCAACGCTGCGATCAGCCCCCGGTCAACTCCCGGTCAACTCCGGTCAACGCCCGGTCGACTCCCGGTCAACGCTCGGTCAACCCCCGGTCAACTCCCGGTCAACGCCCGGTCAACCCCCGGTCAACTCCGGCTATGGCGGCCGGCTCCTCCTTCCTCACCACCCTTCTCCTTCCTTTTCTCCTTACCACGCCTCCTTCTCTTC